GACAAGTACGCCGCTCAGCCGGGCGCCCCAGAGACTCTTTCCATGCCTCCACCCCCCCACCTGCTGCCATGCCCCCACTTCCTGCAAGCTCCTCTAATTGTATCTGCAGTGTGGTTTTAGGGACGACTATACTGACTGCTGTGCCTGTGAGAGAGTGGGAGGCGTGTAGCCCCTATTCACTCATCGCTGACAGCACCGTGAGCGTCGGCCGGCTTCTTTCAAGGACAGCGCGCTGCGAGCACCCCGGCCAGCCATGCTGCTCACTCCCATCACCTGCTCTCTGTATCTCTCTGAGGCATGAAACCCGCGGCAGCGTCCCACAAGTACTTGGTACCAGCTGTCGTGGCACCAGGGGCACCGAATGCAGACGACCTCACCGTCCAGAGGAAACACAGGGCAGAATGTGAACCCGGCAGAGGCTTAAGCCCAGAGAAGTTCTTGAAAGCGGAGCACTTGACTTCCAGGGCACGACCGTTTCACCACACGCTGGAGCAGGCACTGCTCCAGACGCCCATGCGCCCTTCTCCTCACACAGCTCTGTCAGGCCACAGGAAGCGGTGCCTAACCCTGTAGCACTTCATTTGCGGCTGTTGCACAGCTCTGCCCTGGCCTGCGTGTGTGCCCATCCTGTCTGTTCCATATTCCGAGTATATCTGTGTGGGGGTGTGTTTACCATGCAAAAGCCTGTGTCTCAAGAGCCCAAGGTAGAACAATACACGCAGACAATACACACACAGAACAAAACTTACGTCCCCGCAAAGTTTCAAAACAACGCACACAAGTGTGCCCTCTCCGCGAACTTAAGCAACATAGACAGAAAAGCATAAAAACTCCCCGCAGGCATATTTAACAAAGACACACAGACAGCATGCACATATGTGAGCCTATACCACACAAATAGAGAATTATATTACAAAAAATGCTTTTCCTGGTTCTGGCCTTGGGAACTTTTCCAGTGCTCAGGGAAGGCTCTGTGGGCTGAGTGTATGTTATGGTGAGGATTGTGTGTGCATGTGTTTGTGGAGTTTGCACATGTGCCTGTCACTGTCTTCTCCCTTGCTCCTTGTATTGTATGACAACTTTATCAAAATGAAATTAGACCGAGAATCCCCATCTCCCCCATGTTTATGAGTGCACCGTCTGGTTCTAACATTCCCCCATCTACCCAATCAGTTGGGCTGGCTTGGATGCTAATTGAATTGGGCTGGAGGTCTAATTCTAATCTGCAGCAGATGGCCTGGGCATTCCTATGTTCGACAGCAAGAGCCAGAATCTACCCCTGAAACCCAAGACTAGTCATACAAACACTAGATGGCAGTGTTGCACTTTGTGCTATATTATAGGCACAAGAGCTTGCTCTTCTGAAGAAGTAATTAAGACTCAAATCAATAGCATTTAGAACTGGTTCAGCTCCACCTGTCTTACATTATTTAGCCCTGGTGCAGCATCCTGAACTGCAATCTGACACTAAACTAATTAATTATCTTTATAACTAAATATTTCTACACAAAATGTAATAATAAGATGAAAGATACAGCTTCTGCTCATACAGCTGTGCGTAAGATCAAAGTAAGCTGCAAAACTGTCTGAGTACCTTGCTGGTGAGTACCCTGAGTGAGTGTGACTGTCTTGTTTACCCTGAGTGAGTGTGACTGTCTGAGTACCCTGAGTGAGTGTGAGTGTCTGAGTACCCTGAGTGAATGTGACTGTCTGAGTACCCTGAGTGAGTGTGACTGTCTGAGTACCCTGTGTGGGTGTGAGTGTCTGAGTACCCTGAGTGAGTGTGACTGTCTGAGTACCCTGAGTGAGTGTGACTGTCTGAGTACCCTGACTGAATGTGAGTGTCTGAGTACCCTGAGAGAGTGTATCTGAGTAACCTGCTGGAGTACCTGTGTGAGTACCCTGAGTCATTGTGAGTGTGAATGCCAGTGTGGCCCCCTGTGTAAATGAGCATCAGTGTCTCTGTGAGCATGAGCGTGGCAGGCTGCCCTCTCTGGCCAGCGGGTGGCACAGACAAAGCTCTAAGTCTTTAGGAGGTGTTGCAGGTGATTTTCTGGGCCACCAGCCTCAGTAATTCCAAGCTGTCGTCTTCACTGAGAGGCCACACACTGGATCTTCTACCTCGGGGCCACTTAGGGGAAGACAAGCCCTCAGAAACAGACAGCGATCATTACTTGACTTGTCGCTGGCTTTCCTCTGTGAATAAGCCCCTTTGCACATCTTCGTGCTTTCAGAAAGGCTGGTCCTTTGCAACTGGAGTTTAATCATCTCACAGTGCAACCAATGTAAGTGATTTTCCTCAGCTGCGGAGAAACACCTGGCCTGGGCCTTGCTTGTCGCTGGGAGACCCACAGTGTGGGCTTTAGACAGCCTGACATTTGGTGCTTCTGGCATTAAAAGGAAAATCATCTAAACTATAGTTTAAAAAAAATCAAAGAACGTTAAAAAAAAATAGAGAATTACGTGATCTTTGCGATTTTTGGCCTCAGCTTTGAATGGCCGTGGAAACCAAAAAATTGCACACGATTGGCAGACACAGGAACTAAATAACAAAAATAAAATAAGATGAGAGTCAAACTTGTGAGGGTAGGCAGAGAGAGAGAGAGAGAGAGAGAGAGAGAGAGAAAAGACCTGATGGAATTTCTCTGCCTACACAAATCCCCATTTTAACAGGAAGCCGGATTCATCAAGAAACACATCCTCTGCCGAAAACAGGGATTTGCAGCCCTATAAATAGGCGTGGAGATTGGCGTGCAGAAAAGGGGCCTCTGTAAGCCCTGGCAGGCACGTGGCGTGCATCTCTGTGCAGCGACCTGTCGGGCACACGCAGGTGGGTGACACTCAGAGGAGGGCTGACAGCCTCAGGCAGGGAGGGACGCTTTTATTCCTGACACCCTGTGACCCGCCGCGCTGCTCACAGGCTTAAATCCCCACTTAGCGGCACCCGGCCCACCCTCACGTGCCCTTTCGCTGATTCTGCCAGCCGGGTGGCAGCAGCGACACACATGCACTGTCACGCACGTACAACTGCACACGTGCAGGGATGGATACCCGGATGTCTCTCTCTCACACACACACACACACACACACACACAGGTTTGTAATTATATCTTTGTGGGGACTCTCCATTCATTTCTATTGGGAAAACTCTAATCCCAACATAACGACCTTAACCCCTACCCAGCCCTAACCTTAACCATAAGTAACCAAGCAAAATACATTTTTAATTATTTGATTGCAATCACAAGTTTTTTGTTTCCCCCTTGTGGGGACCGAAAAAATTCCCCCCCCCCACAATATCAAAGTTAGGTTTTTGTCACATCATGGTACCCATAATGGAATGTATACGTGCCCATACACATATAGCTGAACAAAACAGAAACCTCCCCCCAGAAATATTCTGTGGTTGTAGCCCTTCTGTAAATAATTACATTACATGACGTATTTACTTAGTAAATGCCCTTACTAAAGGGAACCATATGAGCAGTCAGTCCAGCTCCCAAGCCCACATGCATGGTTGGTTTCCTTAAATAGCTGCCACTAAGGACCCCTAGACTGCTCCAAGGCTCTGCGCTCACATTGGCCGGCCACCTCACCTTTCTGCAAAGGAGGGTCTCAAAAACAACACTGGTGTGCATTTCCCAGATGAACTCTTCGCTGAATCAAAGGTAAAATGACTTTTTCCCAGAATGCTCTAAATGACTAAGCTCCTCATACATACAGAATAACCATAAAACCCAATTAGCTGATAATTGTTATAGAACGACACGCATGAATTAATATATTGTACTTTTGATTTAAATTAAATGCTGAAGTCAATGGTCTTGGTGGGTGTTTCAGGCAGGTCCATCCCAGTATACAGGCAGTCAGTTCATCAGCACCCCTGAGCATGCTAACTGCCTAAGCGTGCCTGCGCCTGGCCAATTTCCCACTCTGAGAGTACAACGGAGCAAATGACTACTTAACCCTGACTGGGGAGGCGTGAGATGGCCGCTCGACCAAGTGAGCTGAAATTAGCGTAATCTGTCAGGTAGGCAAAGCCAGTTATGTGGACATCCAATTACAGGAAATGCACTTTGCTAACGGCACGACCGTAACAGTTTCTCTGGCATCATCAAGCTCATTTCACATAACGGTGTTGGATCTCCGTGCCCTTGCACACGGAAAAGGGTTTTTGATGACCTGGGTGGCAAGCGGGATGGAAGGGGACTCGTTCAGTCTATGATCACCTTAGTCAACAGTGCATGGACCTGGCAAAAATGTCTCCTGAAGTGTCACACTTCTGTTACTAATATCACTTTAAAATATAGGATACAGAATTTAACCAATAGTAGGCTTGCTCAGTCCGAACGACCAGGTGCATAATATTGAGCCACTTGGCACCAGCCCTCCCACTCATGACCTTTCACCCCCTGCTGTGCACTCTCACCTCAGTCTGTGATGACCCTTGTCTTTGTACAGGACCATGTCTAGGCAAATCTCCTCCCATGTCTTTGCGATGCCTTCCAGGGACTGCAAAGCCAAAGTTAAACGTTACCAGCAGGAAAGGCTCAGCGATGCAAAATTGACACTGTGAAAGTCAGAGCAGCCATCTCTAGTGCAGTATTGGAACCTATGGTAAATTCGGCTAATTTGAAGTGAACCACAGATGGAGATGATGGATCCTGAATTCAGCAGACATCCTCCGGTAAGCAGAGTACTTTGCCTCAGTTAAGAACGAGAGAAAAATGAAGAAATCTTTCTCCTATTACATTTTTCATAGAGATTTCTCAATGAACTGGCTCTTTCAAACATTTGTTCTTGGCGCTATTCAGATCAGTGCTTGCTAATATAACCTGAGTGGATGCCATCAGCTGTGAGCTGTGCTTGAGAGGACTGCAATAAATGGCTAGGCAGGAGAATGCCTGCAAACGCCAGCCAAAGGCACACAAGCAGGCCCTGCAACAGACTCCGGAACAGGTCAATAAACAGGCCTAGGAATAGGTCCGCGAAGAGGCCAGAGAACAGGCCCAGGAACAGACCCAGGGACAGGCCAGGGAACAGGCCGACAAACAGGACCAGGAACAGACCAGTGAATAATCTAAAGAACAGGCCCATGAACAGGCCTGAGAACAGGCCCAGGGACAGGCCAGGGAACAGGTCAAAGAACAGGCCCACAAACAGGCCCAGGGACAGGTCAGGGAACAGGCCCAGGAACAGACCCAGGGACAGGTCAGGGAATAGGCCCAGGAACAGGCCTAGGGACAGGCCAGGGAACAGGCCCAGGAACAGACCCAGGGACAGGTCAGGGAACAGGCCCGTGAACAGGCCTAGGGACAGGTCAGGGAACAGGCCCAGCAACACGCCCAGTGACAGGCCACGGAACAGGCCTGTGAACAGTCCTATGAACAGGCCCACCTTGCCGATACACTGACTGCATCCCCACATCCTGGGACTCAAGGCGCTGTATCCAAAACAAATTAAACACAGTATCGATCCCCTGTTCCCCCATCCCTTTGCTACTGCTGGAGCTGTGGCCAAGCCTGTCTCAGGAGGGCACACGCCTCATCACGGGATGAGCCAGTGTACATAGTAAATAGTGTCAGAAAGACCAGCTGCATCGTGAAAAAGAACCTCATGAGGATGGCTGATTAGAAGTGGGCATTTGGGTCGGGGGAGGGGCCTGTACCTGTTCGATTGACAGCTCTTTGCTGGCAGCCCCTGAAATCTTACTGATCTTCTCAGCCTGCTGCTCCAGGCCCAGGGCCATGATCTTCTCGAGGGTGAAATCGGAGGCTGTTTGGTCAAATGCAACTTGCACCTCATCCCTGATCTGATTCCAGTGCCTGAGCACACGTCAACAGAAAAGGAAGGTCACTGGGCTGGTCAGGGGCGACCATGAAAACTTAGAGAGGGCCGGAGACGTATGAATGGGGGGGAGGCAGAGTACCAGTAGCACTGAGGGGGATAGAACATGGGGGTGTGATGAGAGGTGGAAGATGGAAGATGGAGAAGTAGTGAGGGTTGTAGAGGACCAATGAGGGGTGGAGGGGAATAAAAGGCTGGGGAGCTGCGTAAGGTGGGAGGTGGAGCAGTAATATTTTCATTTCTGAGTGTCTGAAATAATAATCTGGGAAAAGTGTAGCATATACACTAACATTTCATCAGTGTGTCTTCATCCAAACAGCCTGGACGTAATCCCTAGCTTAAACGAGTCCGCAGAAATGCAGCCAGCACCAGAGCAGCTTCTAATAGTATTACATCACTGTTGTCATCCCCGGAGGAATGAACGGATTCGGACTGTCACAGATTCCTATCACAGCAGGCTGGTCAGCAGTGAGGATACGCGGCCCTAGATATCTCACTTCATAAGGAACGTTTACGTGCCAAAAACTGAAGGTTGCACTCTCTGTAGGCATCCTTGTAGGCGTGCTAGTGACAGTCCTGATTGCACCAAAAGACCTGCAGCAGCCAGCGGGCACAGGGCTGTGCACATCAGGAGAATGCTTCTACACTGAGGGAGGGGGGTCCTGAGGAAAAGTGTTCTGAATGAGTGTGGGGGGTAGAACCTGTCCCGCAAGGCTGGGTTCCTCAGGTCGCTGATAAGGGGAATGGTCCTTCTGAACAGGTCGATCTTGTTGCTGCAGGACGCCACGACTTCCCACTGCTTGTCCTGTGAGTGACACCATGAGAGGAAATGACCACATGACGTCCTCCTGGCAGGGTGGCGGGGGGGGGCTTGGCGGCGGCGGGGGCGTGCCTTGAGATTGCGGCTCAACTTATGCAGCTTCTTGAACAAAGCCTGGGCGGAGCTCTCCATGTTCTCCATTTGCAGTGCGGCAAAATGCCCCACTTTCCACTGGTCCCAGTGGGCTTCCCACTGCTGGCTGATCTGCCACACCTGCTGTAGGTAGTCTAAGTCCTGAGATGGGGGGTGAGGGGGCCGGCAAGGAGAAAGACAAAAAAGCAAGGAGAGAAAGAGGTTTTTTCAGTCCATGCACTGAAGTTTCTCACAGTAGGGAGGTAACAGGAACAGCTGGACCTGCAGTGCCAATATCGACATTAGTGCTGTAGCTTTACTTGTAAAGGAGCTCTCAGCCAGCATCTCAATGCACACATGACAAGCCTCACATCATCCAAAGCCACAGGAACCCCCGCAACCCCCCCCCCCCTCGCCCCCCCAGCTGCTTCCCCAGGCATGGCGCTGCTGACCTTATCCAAGCTCTGGATGTCCTTGGAGGGGGGCTGCTCGATGCTGAAGATGCTCAGGCCCTGCCGGATGGAGCTCTCCTCCTGCTTCAGGGCATGGAGCTGGGCGCACAAGTCGGACACGAGCTGCAGGGCCTCGCTGGGGTTCACAGTGCTGGAGAAGGGGCCTGCATGGGCCAGCAGGACACAGCCATACACACACTGCGCACACACACAGGGATTCACATAAAACAGTCACGCACACACCGATATGCTGAGTGTGCCTGCCCACATGACTCATGCTGTACTAATATGGATACTGTTATAAGATGCTCTCAATATGTCCCCAGTAAGAGACGTCAGGGCTGTGTGGCGAGGAAGAGGAGGAGGAGGAGGCGTGAGCTACACTGCGGTGTATGTAATGAGCGGTGGGGCTGGAGCCCAAAAGGCTCCTGGCGTCGTCCCAGTCGCACGCCAGCTATCTGATCTCCGGCACAGGTTGCACTCTGCACCGACACACTGACCACAACTTTGAAGCGCAAAGAGCAGGTGGGGGGGGGG